GAAAGAAAGAAGGAAAGAAAGAAGGAAAGAAAGAAGGAAAGAAAGAAGGAAAGAAAGAAGGAAAGAAAGAAGGAAAGAAAGAAGGAAAGAAAGAAGGAAAGAAAGAAGGAAAGAAAGAAGGAAAGATAGAAATGAATGTCTATGTTTCATTACCAGGAATACAGTCATTCAGTGGAGGTATGCAGGTGTCCAGTAATACTATGCTGTTGTTCAGCTCTGAAGAAACACTAATGTTTCTAAAGAAGTCACATTGGAATGTTTTTATTCCTACGTTTCAAATATGGACATTTCCTTTTACAGTTGTACGTTAAGATTGACCTCATGGTATACGGTTGTCATAGGCCAGAGGTTAAAGCAGATCATTTACTTGAGTGCTGAGAAATCTTCGGAGGTCAAATTATTCCAGATAATGTGCAACTGTGAGACAAACACATCTGACTGTCAGGTTCTGTTTCACACCATCTGTTGGCTCATATTTTATCAGCTTTTATCATCTTGACGCAAGACGCAAAAATGGCAGCCACCTGGCGCCTGATGTGAAAGTGAAAGGTAAATGTGGTGAACCTACAGGTAAACGCAGGATCATTTCCTCTAAAGGTGAGAACTTGCAAGTGCATATACACAAAGTCACACGGTGTGTTTACTCTGAAACGAACAAACTGTGTGTCCAACCAAGTGGTCTAAACCTGTGGTTCTCAGCTATTTTCTTTCATGCTCCTCCTTGGGGACGGAAATGTTTTCTCCAAATCCAGTAAATATGAATCAGATGCAGTGGCCGACGACGCATTTTCGTGTAACCAGAAACTGAGCTGAAGAGGTGCAAGGGTCGGAGGAGTGACAGCAGAAAATTGCTGGGGCCCAACGTGCCTACTTATCGCTCCATCATAGCGTTAATTGTTACAATTACTCACCGATGTAAAGAGGAAATGTGTCAGATAAGACTGCGCTGATTCAAGAAGTGTGTGAGACTACTGCGGTATGACCATGTTTCCTAGAAGAACATCATGAATTATGAATTAGTGACATGACGATAACTTACACATGACGTCCAAGGGTTACAAAAAGTTGAGCTAACCACTCCTGTTTCCTTTTTGTCATTACCTCCGTTGTCCCCTATGGATTGTGGATTTACTTAGATTATAATATTTAGCACATTTATCACATGGGCAGAATGTGATTAATGTCCACCGGTCCATTCAACAACAACAATAATAATAATAATAAGAAGAATGTATTCCCTTATTCCTCCCACAATGGATAAATGTAACTCAGGAGACTCCATTATGGATATGTGGTTCTTCCGGGAATCAAACCTAGGACTCTCTGGTCACAGCAGTCAAGGCAGGCAAGCTAGCCGCTAACCCTGTAAAACCACATAATCATTGCTGTAACACAAACTGTTATTTGCTCACACTGTGTTTGAAGAAGCGTTTGTTTCATCGTATTGCCCCTAGCTTACAGGGGCAATAGGGTTGACAAGGTGATTGACACAGTCGTCAAATGGAGTGTGAGTATCGTATCGTTTTCGGATTATAAGGCGCCCCAGCCAGCTAGACTGCCCTCTAGCAGCTGTCGGTGTAATAATAACAAACATGTGAAATAAAAAGAAAACAATAAAAAACTCAGTGTTCTTCGAGTGTTCAACCTGAAACTAGAACTTCTGCTACTTCCGCCTCCAAGACTCTTCGTCATGTGATCGGCAGTGACAGCAAAGATACAGCAAAGTTGATATTCAACACAGTTTCCCATACCGCAAAAAAACCTGGAAACAGTTTTGTATGTTATACAGAATCTAATCAGGGTGATAACATGGATGATTACATGGTTGCATAAGAAACTTGTGATGTACCACATCACAGTCATGGGCACTTTCTAGAAAGCCAAGAAATGTATTCCACGTCCTAAAATAGACTGCATTAGTGACAGCTCACACATCTCCGGCTGACTCTTCACGCTGTCATGAAACTTCATTTCTGTGAACATGTCCCTCCTTAGCCTTCACCAAGTGTGACAGCACTTTTTATTTACTCAGCAGTTTCTGTTTTGTTTTTTTTCATCTGTTACTTTGGTTTATGAGTTCTGGCTTTGAGAAAAAAAAAATCTATAAAAATGTCCTTTATGCTAGATTTAATATCAAAGTCACCGTCTTTGAAACATCTTTACTCAAATCTACGCTGAAACAGTAAAAAAGTTAACATTTTATATTAAGTGAGTAAATGAAACTACACACACAAGCAGGACATGCACCCATGCAGGCACACCTGCACCCACACATGTAAGGTAATGAGTTTCCCATGTGACTCATTCAGCTTTCACAAGGTTTTTTTTTTTTTTTTTTTATGAATGTGAAATTTTGAAAAGTTATTGGAAAAATATGGAAGGAACAGTAAATTTTTGTCACTTCGTCACATAACGCAGACTCAACAAAATATAATCGAATTAATCTGGTCTAAAAGTACGTCAAGGCCAACGGGGCGGGGAGGTCTTTCAGTTCTAATCAACTGCTGGGGAGTTTCTAGTATGAGGCTGAGGGTCAGAACAGAGGGGTGACCACACCTAAAACCAAAATAAAGTGGGGTGGGTGCGTGAGGGGGCAAAGGGTTAAGGTGTGGATGAGAGGTCAGTATAGCCCAGTAGGACTCACCCATTTTTTTCTTTCATTATTTTAACATATTTTAACATCTTCTCTTATTTCAATTTTTGGCAGCACACATCTGCACATGGATCTGAAATAACCTTGTTTTTGCACAACAGTTCAGAGGCAGTTTAGTACAAAGTGAAATTCCAAAGTGTCGATTTTGCAACTCTCAGATTTTTACGGACAAATTAAGCAACTTTTTTTTTTAGGTCTTGACCTCTCGTTAATTACCCAACACCTGCTTTTCTTAGCATTTTTTTATTGGCACTGGCTTATCTATATATATATATAGAGAGAGAGCGAGAGAGACAGAGAGAGAGAGGTTTTTTTTCTTATTTTAAGTTTACAGAAAATAACAACTGCTGTAAAAATGAGCCACCTCTTAAAAAAGCAAAACAGAAAAAGAGAAGTCGTTAAAATGTGTGTAAATAAACATATTTATATAAAGTAGGGGGAAAAAAAGACCATAGAGAGACAACCAACCGTTAACACCCACATTTACACCTAAAGTAAATTTAGAGTGAATAATTGCAACTCCCTGCATGTGGTTGGAACTCCCACAGCACAGAAACACCATCAGTGAACAAAACTGACGTTCTTCTTGTGAAAATGTTTGGCTAATCTGCTTTATCACAAACTGGTTGGAGGCTGATTTTGGTGACAAACCACCTGACAGGTCCTGCACTGATGCAAGTCAGTGACAAAGTATCCCAAAATACCAACTTTTCAAAACGGTGAAATAAAATAATTTTGAGAGGGCCATGAAGCACGGATGGAAGATTTCCTGAAAATACCCTGCAGGCTGCCGCCACCACCAATCCCTCAGCACTTCTCTTTGCAGAGTCAGACGTTTCATTGCCCACATCGTTTCTTGTGCCTGCTGTGGTGTGTGCTTTACGTGATGGAATCTCTCGAGAGATCACCGTGACTCCTGTGAGCAACGTCACCTGTCAATCATGTCAGAAATATTTTGTAACCCTCCAACATGCAGACCTCAAACCACAGGTTGTGACACTGGCAAAGTTTCCTGTTATTGCAAGTCGACAGACAGGAGGATATTTTCGCTGTGATTCTCTGTCAGTGGGAGTGGCATTAAAACCGGTCTGTTGACGAACCACAGACGGACAGTTATTAAAGTGTTGTTACTACATATTCATAGTGTTATTGCATTTTAATGGCAGTCTAAAAGGACAGAACTATAAAAATGTTTCCATCATTAAAATGTATCATATATTATTATATATTACTACAACATATTGATAGACATAAAAATACATACACACATATAAATAAAAAATATTAATGTCAGAATTATATTCTTGCTGTCATTACTTATCATCCATCTATCTATCTATCCTTATTACTGTTATTATTGCTTATTAATATTATTATTTCATGTTTCAATAACGTGTTTTAAACAAGACATTATTTTTTTCAGTTTTTTTAAGAATTGAGACTTATCTATTTAACACACCTAAATTGTTATTAATATATATCGTTATTAAATATTGATGTCGTCATTAGTCGTGATAATGGAATGAAGGCTGTGTAATCTGAGCCTGCTTCAGTCTGACTCTGATGTTCCTTTTTCTTTTTTTTTTTCTTTTTTGCATAATTTAAATTTCCTCTCAGTGTAAAAAATGCTTATTCTGAGGTTTTTGTATAAAAACTGTTACAACTGTGTGTCACATACATACATTTCTTCTGCTCTGATTTGAGGTCATGGAAGAATACGATGTCATTCACAGCTAGGTGAAAATTATGAAAATGATGCAATCTTAAAACGCTGACACATTGACGACATTCCATTTTCCCCTTTAAACCTTAAATTCATACCAAGCCTATATGGGAGGAGTCACGTATATGTTGAATTATCGTGTGGGGAAAATCCCCCCCACCCAACCTTTTTTTAGAATAAATCTTTTTAACTCTTTCTCTTCCAGTTAGTCTCCACCCTAAACTTGCCTATAAATCTACAACACCATGAGTCCAAGATCACACACCAAGAAGACTTTCCAGACTCTCTCTAGACTTTTGGCAGCTCGTGCATCCATCATGTCTCCGCAGTCGCTCCTCGCCATCGTCCTGGGTCTCCTGTCTCTCTTCAGCTGGGCACTGAGCGGACCCATGTGCACCAACCAGTGTTGTCGATTTGTGGAGGGTTTCCCCGTCCGGCTGAAGAAGCTCAGGCAGAGCTATTTACAGATACGGGACTATTATGTGAGTAGCAGCAGATCACTCACTCTGCAGGTTGACTGGAGCTAAAGTGCAGCATCATTTGGTGAAGATAAACAGCATCAACTCTGTGGTGTGCCGCCAAGTGATGTTGCAGATCTCACCACAGTGTCTGCTCACATTCTCAGTGATGTTGCAGTTCTCACCACAGTGTCTGCTCACATTCTCAGTCACTGAGCTCAACCTCCTTCTGTTGCAGGAAGCAAACAATGATTTGGACTCTGTTCTCCTGGACCACAGCATCGAGGACTCTTTCAATGTGAGTTTCCCATATCATTTTAACTCTATATTTCCTGATTACAAATGGGAAAAAAAATCATGCACTAAACTAAAAATCTTACACAACTTGTGACACAATTGCTGTTCCTTCCCAAACAGAGCCCATTTGCCTGCCATGTTATGGACACCATTCTGAACTTCTACCTCAGCGAAGTGCTGCCGAGAGCTATGTCCCAGGTGACGGACAATATAGACCTGAAGCCTCATGTGGAGTCAATACTACAGATCTTTGACGAGCTCAAGGACGACGTCCACAAATGTGTGAGTAATCCACGTGTTTTTACTGAAGAAGATGCAGGGAAAAGTACACAGCAGTTGTTGTTGGAAGGCTTCGGTGCATTACATCTACACCATTCCCCACCGGAATTTTCTTGACGTCTAGTCTAGCCTCTGACAACCCTTTGAAACCACTTCCACGTTCAGCTCAGATGCTTCATTGCTAGTTGTTCCTGACGTGCACTCATAGCTGTCGCAAAGAGGAATTCAGTGACGGCTCACAGGACAGCTCATAATATTGCTTTCGTCAGTAGCTATTAGTCTGAAGCAGTGTACAGTACTGGGTATCTTCCACTTTCTCAACAAAAGAGGAAGAGAAAACCAACAGATTCAAGGAGCACACATCGCAGCCAAAACAGAAGGACTGGGTTTCACAGCAACAGCAGTCACAGAAGCCGAACTCCAACAACCTCTGTGCTAACGCTGACTTTTTTTTTACTGTTTTTTAATGTTTTTATTGTTATTTTTCTACAGAGAAACTACTTTTCATGCAAGAAACCCTTTGACATCAAAGACCTAAACTCTAGCTACACTCAGGTGAGTGCCGGCGCCACACTTGACTGTGCACACGTACTGAATCCACGTGTGTGTGTATAGGCATTCACTGTAACCTCTGCTTGTCCACAGATGGAGAGTAAAGGTCTATTCAAGGCCATGGGCGAGCTGGACCTTCTGTTTAACTACATTGAGAAATACCTCGCCTCAAAACGTCAAAGAACGCGAGTGACCTCTGCCTGAACACACGCTGACCCTGATAAATTATGAAACTGAATGTAAACGTTATTAGATGTCATTTTTATTTGTCTCAGCTGGCTGAACTGATTTTTTTTTTTATTACAACTGTCTCATTATTTGTCCTGGGGACAAGTAAAAAATGGATCATATTGAGTCAATATAAAACAACCTACATCTTTAAATCTTTTTTTTTTTTATTTATTGTATGTATTATGTTATTTATTTAAGTTTGGAAGTGTTTGTTTTTCTTTACTGTTGAAATCTAATAAATATTTTTTTCATGAAAACCAAACAGTATTTACTCCTGAAGTGAATTTTGTGACGTGCCAGCAGCTAACGTGTCATTTTTTAGGAGATGTGAGAAGAATGTGCATTACATCCTGCAGTACTGCAGTACAATATATGAGGGGAACTCAAAAGTGTTGAGTGTAAACTCAATAGGCTGATGCTCTAACCTCAAACATGACCTATATCACATCACTTACCAGAAGCGGCATTGCTGTGTATAAACTTACAGTAAATAAGTAAGTAAAGAGCCGGCTTTACAGCCGTGGCACATGTGTCGTAGCTCATGTTCTCACAGTCAAACAGAAACAAGGTTAAAGGAGTCACACGTGTGCCTGTCGGGACCTGTATTTATTTAACGAAGCCACTGCTCAACATTAATCAGGATTTTCTGAAGAATCCACTGCCCTCAGGCTCATACCGCTCCTCGTCGTACGGCTCATAAACACACTTTGGTTTTGAATCACCTGTCTGACCTGGCAGCCTGACCTGTCTGACTGTTATGACTGACTGTAGCTACTGAGAGAGCCTTGGTTTTGGGGGTGAGGGTGAGAAAAAATGTTTGTTTGGTGCTCATTCACCTTTTTTTTTTTTTACCATTTTCCAATTCATTCTTATATATTTTCTTACAGATATCACAAATTGGCAGTACGTATACACACACACACACATATATATGTGTGTGTGTGTATGTATGTTTCTGTATATTCTGTAACAGAGGATCTCATCACTTTTGTGATCAAACAATAATTCCGGCTCAATCCCCCGCTGGCAGTTTTCTTAGAAGAACGTTCTTTACAAAAAAAGGCAGCTTTTTAACATAATCAGCTCAAAAGTAATCACAAGTGCAGAGAGGGGGAAAAATCAAAGCCACCACAACAACCACAACATGTACAGAGAGCTGTACTTGACAGGAAGGAGTTTGAATTCCAGCACATGTCTCAGTGACAGCAACACTGTTTCCATTTCATGTCATCTGAAGCCATCTCTGTTGGTGGCTCGGAGCCGCGGCTTTCTTGCTGAGGTGTGGCATCTCACTGCTGCTATCTCGGCTCCGTCAGAGAGGATGCACGTTTTTGTCTGAGTCAAGGTGGCAACCCACTTCAAAAACTACACTCCGCGACACCACGTCGAGCTGAGAAGCCTCGACGTGAATTCACACCTTTGTCACAAAAAGGTATTGGTGTGCCAAAACAATGCCTTCAAGTTTCACACTTTGTTTTTATTTTCAAGAGTGATAACAAAAGTGGAAAGTTCAGCACACCTACAGCGCAGCTGGTGGTCTTTAACATCACGTGCACGGTTCTTCCTGCTGCCTCTTAAATACAGACCCCTTTTCCAGAAGGGTTTCTTTGGCTTTATTTAATATCTGTGGATAGTTTTGTTTTTTTTTAAACTAAAACCCTTTTGTTTGACATTTCAGATTTTTAAAGTTTAGAAGAAGTTCAATTATAAAAGAGACATTGTCTCCCAAAGACTAGGTCGTGACCCTCAGGTGGGTCGCGTATCTGCTGCTAACACAACAGTTTCCCAAATATGGGATCAATGTAGTACAAATGTATTTATTTATTTTATTTTATTCTGCTCAAGTATCTTTGAAACAATGTTTCCCAGCACATGATCATATAGACCAGGGATTCCCAAATTAAGCTGCACTCCTGGGGGTGCTCCAGTTGCCACTAGGGGGAGCACGGAATAAGAAATTTCCACACAATAAAGACGTTTATATATATTTTTTAAACTTTTTTTTTTTGGGGGGGGGGTTATATTGGGGGACTGCATCAGCAGTTTGGGTACTGCTGGTGTAGACTACAGGCCTGTCACCACTCTGATCTGATATTCATTTCCTCATTCAGTCAGTCACGATCCACTGCTTAATCCCTAGAGGGGCTAGAGCAAATTCCAAATCAATGGGGGGAGGGCAGGGACCCCCTGGACAGTCCACCATAGGGCCACATACAAGGCCAAATGAGCATGGTTCTGGGCTGTGGAGGGAAACTGGAAAACCCCCCGAAAACCCACACACAATACGAAAACTCCATACAGACAGGTTGTCCGGGGATTGAACCAGCAAACTAGTGACCTCCTTGCTGTAAAATAATTTTCTACCATGTGGCCCTTTAGCCCTCATTTATTTTAAGGGAATTTTGGATCAGGATGTAAAGGCCTCACCTCTAAACCGTGTTGAAAGGTACAGTAATGGACTGGTGTGGAAACCACTGCTGAATGCGCATGGAAATCCCATGGAACCCTATTACTGAAGATACACTGCTACCCTTTTGGACAAGGCGACGCTACCTGGGCTTTACTTTAGCAAAAATGTTCTCGAAAGCCATAAAATACCTTAAGAACAAGACGGTGCAGGAACACCTGTCGACAGTAAAAAAAAGTTTACTGTTATTCACAGGATAATGCATTCATTTCATTGTGTTTCATCAGTCTCTTATTGAAACGAGGCAGAGCGAGATGACTGGGGGTTTCGTTGCACTCAAAACTTGAAGACAAGTGGCAGTGTCTAAACCGCACCTGGAGAGAAATCACATATCTGCAGAAAACCGGTCTAAATACACTGCAGTTGGGAAATATCTGTGATGACAAAGACCCCAGGCAGCTCACTACACAAATGCGTATATTCCAGAAGTCACTCATAGTTGCAAACATGACACTTGTCACAAGATGAGTCTTTGTCAAAGTCACGGGTCCGGAGCCGTCCCAAAAACCCCAAGTTTGAAACTAGCTGAGCTGAAGCATGAAAAAAAAGAGGGAAACAATATATTAATCTTTGTGTCTTTTTTCTTAAAATGACTAATTTAATACTCAACACAGTTAATGGTAGTTCTTTATAATTTCTAAACATTTATTGTTTATTTGAGACCACCTTTATTTGTCCCCCATTCAGGAAATGTGTTAAATAAAATAAGGAGGAACACCATATACGGGACATATTGGGCAAAATAGACTTTTAGTACATGAACTTCCACCTCTTGAGTTCTGACGACTGACTAGACGTTTTATTATCTGCCAAAATCTTAAAAGCCGCTCCAACATCATGAGGATTATAATAATTCTGCACTCAACCGTTGCCACGGTAACACAAAGCCGCCCTCAGGTCTTCAACCAGCAGAAGCACAAACTGGCTCATTAGCATTTAAATTCATTAGAAAAAAAAATATTAAAAAAATAATAACTAAAACATGGCCAGGGTTGTGCTTTATGTTTTTTAATCCAAAGCTGAAGCAAAAAGTACGGCAAGTGAAGATGAACAAAGAATGTAGGGAAGAAAAATGTGTGCTTCTAATACAGAGTGATTAAAGGAAAAAAAAAACAAAAAAACATTGTGAACATTTCCCACAAACATTCAATGAACATCTTTAAAGTGAGAGATGTGTAGGTGTGCGACGACAGGCAATGTGCTTGTGATTTTACAGAAGACCAAACTGACAAAAGTGACGATCATTTCCCACACTCCCGTGTGTGATCTCCGTCTATAAGAAATGACCATAGGCGAAAAGAAGAAGATGATGATTTTGGATGGCTGTTTTTTTTAATGACCCATTTAGAAGACAACAGCTGGAAAGCAGGGCAGCTGATGGCACGTAAGAATAAAACAACAAGGTGGACCATCCCACTGGAACACCTGGTCCAAAGTCACCCTGGTGACTTATTGTCATATGTATGTCTTGCGGCATTGAATGGACACCTTATGGCAACATCATTTTCCTGCATATAGTCTATGAGAGGAACCATTGGTGATACCCTGGGTGAACGTGAAGAGTTTGCTGGTGGTAATTCAGATTCTGCTAAGGTAAAAGCAGCAGCTCCTCGGTAAGTTCTGCTCACTCTCCCGGAGGTGTGAAATACAGTGGAGATGAACCAAGAGCTGGTACAACCATGAACAGCTTTACCAAGACCGGTCTGAAACTTGTACTCTCTAGAGGGCGCCACTGCTTGCATGAAGAGACAAACCCCCCCTCCTATCTTTGCTCAACAAGTAACACCATCAAAAAGGCAACATTCAAGCTGACAAACACATCTGCATAGCATTGACCTGGAATACAATCAGGCAATGTTAGGTAATAGGTTCTACAGCATAACATTGGTAAAAGTCTAATTGTAGGGAGTAAAATCAACTGCTGAGTTTAACACTCAGTAAGGCCTACGCTAAAATGACCATAAAATCCATGTAAAAATACAGTTTATTCCATCTCTGTGTCTCTGCTGAGCTACATGAACGACGGGAATGAGTCGGTTCGGTTCTGAGAGCGACCGTCCTTCTATGCTTCAACATTATGTACTGGAAAAATAAAGGGTAAATGTATAAATGTGTGAGTGCATAGGCTCCTGTTCAACATTTACAAGGACAAACTGAACTGACAGACAAACCCAGTCCCATCACTGATCAACTCTACTGGACCAGTACTAACAGTGAGATGGAGCGGGGCTGGGGGG